ACTGTGAATGCTCTTGAATTGGAAATTTACACAACAATGACTTAGCAGTTGAAAAATATATACTCCAATATAAATCATGACGTTCTAAAGTTTTATTCATTAACCATTCAAGAATACCCAACATTTGTTCTTTGGGTACTGTAGAATGTTGGAAAAATGTATTAATTATATCTAATTGGGGAATTTGATGCATTCCAGGTTTTTTTGAATGATAGAAATCTTGATTTTTATTAAAAAAAAATCCAGAATCAATGAAACATTTAGTGAAAGATAGCCAATCGTTTTTTAATGTATCTTCAAGCAAATGTTTTGTTGCATATTTACCAATCCAGCTATATATTGCTAAAATAGAATAATTGCCAGAGTTTTTCAGAAGAATAGAATAACACTTATTAAGCCAAATATTCATAGAGTTTGTATTATTTACTATTCGGTTTGAAGATAAAACTTTGTCTAGAAAGCGACAAATAAATTGATCATCACAAGGATTTTCTTCTAATATTTGAAAACATTGGTCAACCCAACATGTTGTAAGCGGCCAAATATGTTTACTCAATATTTGACTTACACAAGTGTCATAACTGCCAAAGTGATCTTCAACTTCCAATAAACATTCTAAAAATTCTAATAGATCTGACATAACTAATGTCTTAGAACAAATTTCATCCAACTTTTTTATGCTGATTGGAAAACTACTAAAAATGTTTGATAAAACTAATAATCCAATAGATGTTGAATAAATTGTATGATTTTCATTAATGCGATGTGATAATTGATTATCTAAATAATTCAAATTATTTATTTTTTTTATTGAATTAATTACATAGTCCCAAGATTGTGTTTCATTTTTGTATACAATTATACAGTCAAATAAATCACAACTAAATTCAGTATTAATGTCATAACTAAATTTACAAGCAAATGTATATAAAAATGTTAATACAACAGTTTTCAAATATGAATTTGGCATTTTTTCAACAATAGACTTTATTTTGAGCACATGGTTAATAATACTGAATCCCAAAGGATGATCTAGTGAAATATCAGCTAATGATTTTGTTAAAAATGTTAAAGGTACAATTGACCACTTAATAGTTGGCAAATATAATAAAAATTTGCCAAACACATCACATCCATCATCGGACATCATAAGTTTATTAAACCATAATGACAATACCATTTCTAATTGAGGTTTGTTAACAAAAATGTCACTAGACATTTTGTACAAAAAGATGTTGTTCAATGAACCCACAAATGACACTAAAAGTTGTTCATTTGTTTTTAATGATTTTATTGGCATATTTGTGATGATGTCTATACTTGCTAAGACAACATATTTGGAACTGTGCTTAGACATTTTACAATACATAGCTGTAATCCATTTCAAAGGTAACTTGTAGTCACCATAATCATCATCAGTTTTGCTTAATGCAAGTTTTTTAGCAGTACTCAAAATTGGTAAAGTTAAATGTTGTTGAGTATTTTCCAAAGTTTCCATGACAACTATATAATCGTTCCATACTTTCATAAACTGTTCTTTAATTAAGTATGAGAAGTAATTGACATTTTCACTTAATAATTGGGAACATGATAATTTAAGTATGACATTATTATGAGTTCTAACAACATTATTTTCACAGGTCAATAAATTACATGTTAGATTCCAAAAATCGTCATCATTTAAAATAACATCAATACATGAAGAATCAAAGAATAAAGTTTGCATGTTGAACAGTAAATTCATTATACGATTAGGATGAGATTCAATCATAGATTTAATATGTTTCCATAAAATAGGTATATAATTAGTTGACACAATATTGTTTAATAAGACTATTACAGCATCTAACTTATTTTTACTTAAGTATGGTTCATTTAGTATATTTATTAATGTATTTCTTAAGTGATTAAGTTGTGTATTATCATCCATATTACCATCACAAGGCATAAATATGTTTTGCATGCAAAATCCAATATTTCGTATTCTTTCATTGGAACAATTTTTGAAATCAACTTTATTTGTTAATTCAATACTACATTGGAATAGCTGAATAATATCATCACTACTTTTTTTTTTTATAATATTAATGAAATAAATTAACAAGGAGTTTAAATCATCTATTGAAATATCTGAATCTTTCCATGCTAAACTTTCCAACTGAGGATCAAAAACTTGGAAACATAAGTTTTTTGCACTAGTCAAAATCCAATTATAAACATCTATTTCTTCATATACATCATAGGTATCTATTAGTATAGGCAGTGCTTCTATAACGGCTTTTTTTTTTTTAGAATGTTTACTATTTAATATGTCCATCATTGATCGTAGCATAGTGAGTTCTTCCATATTATGTAATAACTGTAAAATTAAATATTGATTAAATTACTAAAAATTAAAAAAAAACTAAATGGTCTAGATGTATTTATAATTTATATTTTTAAATAACAAATAGTACTTTACATTACTTAGTATATTATATATATGACTAACATATTTATACAAAAGTAACTATAAGGTTATAACATTAGTGTTTACATGTATAAACATACATTTTACATTTTATATCGATGTGCTTGTACAGAAGTAAACTTAGGAAAAGTAGATCCACTTTTAAACAAATTTTGCTCTATAACATAATCATTAAGTTTCTCAGGTAATATTAGTGATCCATCAACTGTTTGATGAGTTTCAGCAAGAGCAATAATTAACCTGGGAACAGCACATGCTGTTCCATTTACAGTATGTAAAATAATTCCGTCGGAATGAATACCCAGTCGTTCAGATTGATAATTTGTACAGTCACTACAACTTGAAATCTCCCCATATTTATTACATCCTGGCATCCATGCCTCAATATCATATTTTCGATATGCTTGTGTCCCAAGCTCATGTTTGGCCATATCTAATACGCGATAATGTAAATTAAATGGCTGCAATAAGTCTTCTTGAATATTTCGAAAATAAAGAGCCATGTTTTCTGATTCTTCAGGTAGACATGCTCCAAACATTTCAACTTTAGTAAACTGATGTACCCTAAAAATTCCTTTTTCCTCAGCAATGCTGGATACTTCAGCTCTATAGCAACGACTAACTGAACACAATTTTAAGGGAAGTTTATCTTTAGATATATTTTTGTTCATTAAAGACCCAGCTAAAGCCATTTCAGAAGTCCCAGATAAGCACCATTTCTTGCCGTAATAATTATTATCAAATGTGTAAACTTGATTTCTTTCTCCAGCTGTATCCATTCCACACCTTTCAATTAATTCATCTGGCAATATATCCGGAACTGAAACTAATTTGAAGCCTTTTTTTATTAATTTTTCTAACGTGTACTGGACAAGGGCATGCTCGATTTTAGCTAATGGGCCAATGAAATAATAGCTGCGATCACCACAATAATTAGATAAATTTTCAGTTTTAAGGCAATATTTGACTTTATTTAACATATTTAATGGTAATGGTTTGAATTTAAACACTGGTTTTTGACCAACAGATTTTACTACTTCAAAATCACCTTGAATGTGTTCTACACGAGGGTGAGTTTTTTTAGAAACGTCTTTAAACTTGTCTTCCAAACTTGGCATAGTTTTCTTAAAGGTTTTTAATGTAGTTGATAAGTTGTTTTGCCAAGAAGAATAGCATTTCATGAACTGCTTATTAAGATCCACTTTCTTTGAACACATTTTTTGTGACAAACGTGACATAATGTTTACGGATTTTTAATAAACTTTACTCACCTATATTTTATAAAAAGATCCACACAAACGATGATGAATATATCTTAAATTGTCCTATAAAATAAAAACATATTATGTTAATTGTTAATCATAAATAACACCTAAATCTGGATTATTGTATTCAAACTTCAATGTGTATATAACTAAGTAGTAAAACTAAAGTTTTTTTTAAAATATGTATTAGAAGATTATACTTACTATTTGAGTTAACACAAATTGTTGTTCTTTAAAAATAAAATATTAAACGCTTTTGAACTTTTAAGATAAATACCTATAATATTATAATCATAATTAATATTATTGAATAATAAAACTAAATTTTTTATTTTTTGTATACATTATAATATTATATTATTTTGTCATTACTTGTATCATAGAACAATCTTGTATACTAATTTCTTTACGTATTTAGTATTTACTGGCCCAGGTTTCTTATCAAATATGAACACACGTGTTGATTAACGATTTCAGTGCAACCGGAAGACAAAAAATATATTTATACCTATTAGATAAGCCAACAAAAAATCAAAAATTAGTCCTCAGCCATGGTACCTATCTAGCTTCAAGCTTCAAATAATTAAATAAATGTATTTTACTTAAATAACATTTTTATTTTTTGGCCGGACTCCGACGTGGTAAATACCTGTTCATAGGGGAATAGACTATAAAGACATAATATTATCTTTATATTATAACAAACACTGTTTAACGCTAGGCTATAGTTGTTGTACCACAGAATACATGAAATTAGTGGTTTTACTCACAGATATGAAGATGAGATGTAATATTAATAATGATAATAATATTTATTCTTTATATCTATGGTTATACATACTACACTGTGTAATAAAGTTTTTTATATTTTTACTGGATAAATAAATAATAATATTCTTAGATCATACTATATATATTGTGATCCAAGATAATAATATCAACATTTATAAATAATAAACATTACTATCATTTAAAGTATTTGATATTGATTATATTATCAATTAATTACTTATTACTTCTTAGTTTACAATTTACATACCCGTCGTTATAAGTTCGTGTTAATCTTTTTTTTATAATATTAATTATAGGAACGAGTGTACAACTTTTTTTCCAATTGTATTACTGTTTTGATTTAACAATATTTGTTATGGATCTTTATTGCAAAAAATGTATTCAATACTGTTCATGAAGTGTACTTACCTAAAATTACTAAAATTCATAATCAAAATTTACCATTTAAGCTCAGTTCATCTAAATTAAATAAAATGAACTCAAACAACGAGATTATGAATCAAAAAAAAGTCACTCGTCATACTTTACTTCATGCTTTGTACGATCGAGAAATAAACGGCATTAAGACACGCATGAATTGCATCAAATCTACTTACCAAGTCATAAATCCCAATTGTACAATTATAAACGTTGAGAAACCTCCTTGTTTTCTAAGAAAATTCACTCCTGATGGTCGTCACTTCATAGCTTTTTCTCAAGACCAATTGTACATTGAGGTGTATGCCTATTTAGGATGTTCAATGGCGGCTAAGTTGCTAAAGAACTATGAAGAAAATTGTATTGGCCAAGACAACAATGGTGATGTTGCTCGCAAGAGAATATTTGAAAGTCTTTTTCAACTGAAATATCGAATATTAGTAGCAGCGGAAGGAGAACAATTAAATAGAGAATGCAGTCTATTCACAGAAAATAGTTCCTATGCTGTTTTGGGTTCTGTAGGACCTATTCCTCGAAATGTAATGCTTGAATATAATGATGTTTTCACTAATAATGAAGCAGTGACTCCTAATCTATTATTGCCCTTAGAAAATTATACTATACATTTAATTAACATAAAAAAAGGGGCTGTTAGTCAACGCTTACACTTCAAGGCCGATAAAATTTCTTTATCTCACAACCAAGGTGTTTACCTCTTAAAAGATGTACTTGCAATTTTATCTGTTCAACATCAAATAATTCATGTTTACAACCTTATCCAAAACCGTTTCCATCTGTTGAGGAAAATTGGTCGATTTTGTTTTGAAAATGATCTTGCCTTCATTTCATCTGTGCACACAGATATAATTGCAGACAATTATAAAACTCGTAATGAATCTTTTACCAATGGATTAAAAAACAAGCTAATGGTGTTTTTGTATAAAAAAGCTGAACGTGAATCAGTTGTAGCTAGAACGCAATACCCTCTTAGGAGATTTTATCAATATTACGATCAAGTGAGCTAAATATTATGCAACAAAAATAATATCAAAATCATTGATAATTATTGTTTTGCAGTTCATGTCATTACGAATTTGGAAAATGCAGTTATTAGATGTAGACAATATGATTATAAGATATGCATCAGAAGACGTGGTCACTGCTAAAATTCAGGAACCAAGTACACAAGCATCATATTTTATGATTTACAATATGACTACAGCTGCGGTAAATTTATCATTTAACAAAAATAAGGTGTCAGGCAATTAAGATTTAAGTTATAATTGTTTTGATTTTAATATCAAATATGGTATACTTAATACGTTGAACGCAAAACATCGATTTGGCATGCTCACTCCAGTGGCCGACATCATTTGACCTGCGGGCGAACGTCGCCAACTATAAAATTAGTAGATTTTACGGAATTGTCAATGCGGTTATGAATGTCCTATAGAATTTTTAATTGTATTCAGCTATATCCACCAAAAAAGACTTAGTACAAAATAGGTTAGTCAATGTCAACCACTGGTTGACAAAGGCCATGGGCGCTCGCCTACTTGTGTCAACGACGAGTTTACATTGAGTTTACATCTGTTTAGTCGTGTCAACTACAGGTTGATGTTAAGTGTAAAACATGAGAATTTAATTTAGGGATAAAATCATAGACCTATAAACTAATGGACAGCGCAAAGAGAGAGAAATCACCAGACGGGATTGTTGAGAGAGAAAAGGGGATTTTGGGCCGTTACAGTGTGCTAAACATATAGCCCAAATGTTTTCTCTCTCTCATATGCTCATATGTTATGTTCTCTCTCTTAGTTATGTCGTTTGGATTAACCAATGGTTGGACGGTATGGGAAACGCTATCCATTAGTTTATAGGTCTATGGATACAATATATGTTATATAAAATTTTAACTAATTTAATTTTTCAAAATATTTTATTAAAAAATATTATGCCTACTGTAGAATATATTATAGGGGTGGAATGCCTTTAACATTTTTACTGGTAAATATATGTTTCAGGCTACTTATATTGTTTTTAGACCACACTTTTCAATTTTACCCTTACTTTTATGATGATATAGGTATTTTAAATTTGTGTTTAGAGTTAATTTAAATATTGTATATTAATTGATCATCACACATTTCTCCCTTGGTTTTAACCAGAAAATTATAGCAATATAATATTACTTATTAGTATTATACAATAATATGCAAAATAAAAATGATATCATTTAATTCAATAGATCATCTAACTACGAATGCAGTGAGATTCAAACAATGAAACACCTTCTACAGTGTCTCAAAATTTGGACAACTTACACCGAAAATTACCTTAAACTGACGAATGAGAAAGCGGCACTAATCGCGGCTCATTGGATTAGGATCTAACTGGCATAAAAAGAGAAGACTAGATTATGAATAAAATTGTATCTAGGTTAGCATTAAATTGGATAAATTAAAAGAAAACATGCAATTTCATCGTCTTCCGAGCCCTACTTGTATTATATTTGTTCTGTAAAATACATTTCAGCCATTTAGTTTTGGAAGTTCTTACCTTAAAAACTGTAATTCAATAGTTTATAAATTTCACCAAACATCATGAGGATCAGGATGTTAAATTTTCATATAAATATAGTTACATATTATACATTATAGTTTATAATGATATTATAATAATAATAATTACATCAAAAATCAAATAATAACTATTGAATTTTTAACTACAATAACAAATTCCTTTTAGAGGATGTCAGCACACTATTTGTATTCTCTCTCTGGTCCTCGCACAACATAGACAAAACGCAGTTACACAGATTCATTATTCTTTGTTTTTAAGTAATCTTAGAGTAAAATCACCCATTACAAAAAAGATAGAAAATAATATTTTTGAGGGAATGTCATGTCGATTTGTCTAAACATTGGCTCAAAACAATTTAAACATAATTTAAATGTACAAGATATTTTTGTTTATTTTGAAAGTCGAATACAAAGTCAAATAATAATAAATTATAAAATCAATGTCATGCGTTTTGTCTATGCTGCGTGTGGGCCAGAGTAAGAAAATAAATAGTGCTCTGATATCCTCTTAAAGATTGCTTGAATTACCCAAGTAATGATAATTTTTTTACATTATTCTGTCTAGGTTTTAAATGTTTATGAAAATACATCTAGTGATTTATTACGTGGATATGAGTATTTTTGTGATAATTTTCGTAATCCCTATCTAAACCCAGATGGATTTATGCCGTGTTCACCATCAAATAATATATTTTCACGGTATATTAATTTATTATTCAGCATTATGTTTACTTTGTATTTACGAAAATGTTTAATTTTAGGGATTCTCATGAAAAATTTAAAAATACAATGCTAAATGCTAGATTTGGTGGCACAATGGAAGCAAACAAACGAATATTGGGACAATTACCAATAGCAGCACAATCATTTTCCTGCTCTCCATATTTGGATACTTCCCTTTATAGTTACGATGAAAAGTGGGTGTCACCAATGGAAAGACCTAAAGTAGTTGGTGAATATCCAATAAGGTAAGGTTAAATCATTGTCTCTTTTTTTCTCATAAGTTATATAATTTAAACTTCATATTTATTTGTTTATAATATGTTAAAAAGGTTCTATTCAAGGGAATCTGGAACGCTAAGCTTTTATCTGTATACTAGTGTATCAAGGAATAGACCAACGCAAGACCGCAGAAGACTGGTAGCATTTACATTCCATCCTACAGATCCTTTTGCTATTAGCGTACAGAGGGATAATTTAGAGTATATTGTAAATTTTCATATACGAAAAGTGTACTTGCCTGAGTAATGGTAATTTGAAAATGTCGACTACTTTGATTGTCGTTTGGATCATATAATATGACATTTTATAAGCAGAGCTCACAAAAGTAAATATCGAAAGTGGAACATCTGTAGACTTTGTATTTTGAATAATTTTATCAGTTTTTTAACAATATAAATTATAATCTTAAAAAAATGATTTGAGATATGTATACATAATGTTACAAGTATAATATTTATTTTTAAATTTTACATGAGATCATGATTTAAACTCAATTTTTAGGAAATGTTATAGAGGTTCAGTATGAATTGAAAAAAAATAAATACAAATATGATAAACTTATTACATTATTTGAACAGAGTCAATAGTTTCCAATTTGTAATTCTTCCATCGTGTTTCAAGGTCCAAACAATTTTGTTGTAGAATTTTCTCTTGTTCTTTTTGACAATCTACATTCTACATAATCAGTTAACGACTAAAAAAGAAATCAATATTATTAAGATTAATTCTTTAATGAATGATTATAATATTGTTGTTTAACCTATGTAGCCAGGGGGGGATTTGGGTATTTAACCCCCCCCTCTCTTGACATTTTTTGACCTAATAAATGTATTATTTATATACAATAACTGTAGTCAAACTGAGTCAAGATGTATGGAATCAACTGTAGTCGTTTTGGTATAGCAGATTCCTCCTGTCGTTGCAAAAACTGAAAAGTTGATAATTCTAATGTTGAATTAATTTATATTGTAACATCATTCCAACATAAGTAGTAAAGTTAACTGAGTTTTTATTTTGTACCATACTATAACAAAGCAAGACAGGCAAGTTCTAGAGTGTGAAAAGGGGGGAGGATTCATCATGAATTATTTCTATAATTTATGTAAGTCAGTCAATATTATTAATGTATTATAACTTAATACTATAAATGTCAATAATATAATTAATTTATAATGTCCGGAAAATAAATACTGTATATATGCCTAAAGTGGATGATTTTGGAAAACTTCTAACACAACACCCAAGTAGGTTGAAAACTTTTAACAGTTGTGAATAAGTAATATAACTTTGGTGTGTACACTACATAAATGTATTTTTGCTTTAGATTTTCCATCAACAAAAGGATTAAAATTATCTTTTGAATGTAAACAAGAGTAATAGAAGAATAAAGAGTTGTATAGAACGTTATGAAAGAAATGCAAAAAACAAGGCTAGAAAAGAAAGAAAATCAAAGAAAATTTGAAGTTGTTTAAGTGATAATATATTTTTTTAAATGTTAGGTATAAAATATACAGTTCACTTTTACTGAACATACATTTTTTTATTACCTACTAAAAAACAACAGAATAAATAATTTTAGTATAAATTAAGAGGTAATCGCACCCGCATGTGTTCTCTCCTTACAAATGAACAACATAGGAAAAATTGTTTTGCACTGAAAAGAACCAAGAAAGAACAGTCGTAACTAAGAAACAAAATTTTCACCACGCAAAAAGGAGAACTTTGGCTATGCAATATCAATTTTATTTTTTTAAATACTTGGAACTTCAAAATATGTTATTAAAGTTCGAAAAACACAAACAATAATCTTTTACTATTTATATATTTTGTATATTTTGAATTTTGTAACAATTATGTCTGAATGCTTACACTGTGTCATGCAAGCAACCCAACCATCAGGCAGTTTGCTAAAAGTTGTTTCTCTCTATAATTTTTCTATTTTATTAAAATTCTATTATATAAGAGAATAAATTATGAATTAAGAGAATAGTATAATAGTATAATACTCTCTTAAAATCTTAAATAGTAGTTTGTAACTAATACATTTTAATATAATCATAAACTGAAATTCACACATTCTTCTACCAGGTTTAGAAACTAACCTTTACATCAACCTTTTATAACAATGATGTTAGGGTACTTCTGGGTTATCTCAATAACCCAAATATTTCCAAGACTACCTGTCATAATCATCTAGGATTTCTTGACTACCTCCATTTTATTTATAATTTTACATTCCCGCGTGGTAATCTGTATCATTGTAATATACAATTTAAATTTGTTTTAAATGTATAATTTATTATCCACATATCTTGCCATCAGATTAAACATTTATGTTGGTAAATAGTATTTATAAATTCAAGACTTGAGTTAAAAAGTTAATTTAATTTAAACTTGTTAACTTAGCTAGTTACTTTTTAAATTTCTTTAACTTAACTATTAACTTACTAAATTTCTTTTTTAATTAAAGTGAAATTTACGTATTCATTTTTAATTTTAAGAAGTAGGTTAGTTAGTTACGTTAATTAATTTTATTACATTTCACTATTTCAGTCTATTTCGTTTTCATGTCAAAAAATATTTACCGTAAGACGTTTAAAATTAAGTTTTTTCAATCCTACTTATATGGAAATACTGTTCAAAGTATAAAGTATAATTATAAACACTAGTCTATAATTTATTTTTGGATTGGATAAAAATGAAATACGCTAGCTTTGAATAAAAATATTAATTTTTCATAATAAAAAGTGTGTATTAACTTTTAACTTAACTGAGTTAACCTATAATTAAGTTAACTTTTAACTTTTTGTTATTGGATATTAATTTAACTTAACCGAGTTAAAAAAAAATAACTAACTTGCCCAGCATTACATAAATTGGACTGAAACACAGGATCACTCACCCAAACAATTGAACGCTTTTGAAGATCAGTTGTACATTGTAACATTTTCAAACTATTTTGACTCTTTTTGAGCTATTTATAGCTATGATAATTTTTTTGAATTTTGTAAATTATTTTTCAGTTAAAAATTCTATTAAGTTTTCTGTTTCATAGCTAATATAAGAAGTTTTAATAGAAAGTTTCGAACAAGTTTTTCTACCTGTATTTTTGAAAGAGTGCACCATAAAGTCACACCTCACGCTATTTATACCCATGAGATATTTTAGATTTTTATAAAAAAAATGTTTAAACCATTAAATTTAATTATTTATACAAGATGCTATAAGCTGATACAACGTCTTGACCACCTTTTTTGATTTAAATTATTTAATTTATGTTTGAAATTTTAAAATTTTTTTTTATACTTATACATTATTAAATTATTTTGAACTGATTTTTGATAGTTTATTAATGTCTAATAGAGAATATTTCACAAAATGTACACATCACAAATCAATAATCAAAATCTGGATCATGATTAATAAGTAATAACTGTGATTGTCTGAAGCGTTATTATTTTTCAACCAACAGATATTTATTTTTAATTTACAATAAAAAAATAAAAGCTTAAGTATTATAAATAAAATGAAGAAAACAAAATCTTAGTTGCAAATTTATTGTCATGATTTTCTTATTATCCAATAATACAATTAATGTGAAAAAAAATTGTCTTAAACATAAGTAATATATTTGTAAGTCTTAAATATAAGCCACTTAACATATAGGTATAATTTGTATATTATATATTATTATAATAAAAGTAATATAAATAATTGTTATGCTATACTAATTATATTATGGTTAACATTTAAAGCTTAGGACAGAGTAATGAAGATGTATAATATAATGAATTGAACACTAGAATAATGAAAAAAAAACAATAGATAGTTCAATAAAATATGAAATATTATGTTAATTTGATTACAAGTAATACATATTTTATTTAATATATATTAATTTATCATAGATTTATACAGAAATCTCCCAATACGTGGAACATGATATCTCAACATAATCATTACTTCAATATAAATTTGTTTAAAATTGTATAATATATATATATATATTTATTAATATATGAATTATTCTCAAATAAAATAATAAAAAATGCAGTTGTTATATTATTAATTAAAATATATAATAATTAAGCAATAGATATTTGGTTTCATAGGAATGTATGCCTTATGATTTATTTTACCTAGTCTAAAAACAATTCAACATTTTAATTAACAATAACTAGGTATTAAAACTAATAATCACATACATATAGGTGGTAAAAAAAAAGTGAGATTATATTGTTTAAGGTAAAATGTTTAGTTATGACATATTAAAATTTTTATTAAAATCAAACAGGTAAGAGAACAAAGTATACAATTTTTAGCATTGAGTCTTACATTGAAACTATACTTTAAAAATATAATAGTAGATGATAATGAATACCATTTAAAATACATTTTGATACCATAATATTTTAGGGTTAAAAAAATTGTCATAGATATAAGGTTAAATATTATGCAATTGTCATTTCAAATACAAAATTTGAAAAAAAAAAATGGTTTTTTAAAGTTTATCTTAAACGTATATACTAAAAAAAAAAAATTAAAACTATAATTGATATAGGAAGACATTAAATTATTAAGATCAATAATTGAAATACTGGTGGATACTAGCATTGTTATGTCTAATGCTAAATTAACTGCTTATGGGTTCAATGATATTCCATAAACTCGCATACGATCCAAAACCAAATCCAAGAAAACCGATAATAATAATAATAATATCTTTAACAAACATCAGCGTAAACTCTCTACCAGAGCAATGATCCCAGAATGTCATGAGTTCAATAATAGGTGGAAAGATCAGTGCTAGTGCTGAGCTGCTGAATGATCCCACTAATGAGATGATTGCTGATAGGTTTGGAATGGCAGCTGCTAAAGCAACTATAAAATACATAAAATGAGCTTTTAGAATTTAATAAATAATACAATTTTATCAAAACTCTATATACTATATATATTATATATTATCTATGGTACTGCAAGAGAAAAAGCCATTTTTGTCCTGCTGTGGCATGTTTTTTCACTGGACAGAGTATATATATTATGAACACAGATATATTATAGTACAAGTATATTATATATAATATTTAGTATTTACATGTTAGTGTGACAAGAAACACTCTGATACTCAATTCAGCATTACGTTGACTAGACTGTGAATGAAAATATCCTTTTAAAGCAGGCCATACAATACCTATTGGAACATAGAATTGGAGACCATAAGACAAAAATATTGAGAATGCCATTGCTGCCCTGACACTTTGGGCTAACCTGAAACATTTTTGTTAATAAATATTAAAACAATAATTATTTTATATTTTTAAAAATGTATTTAAAATGTCAACAAGAGTTTAATAACTTCAAGTATAAACTCTATTCCAAATAAGTTTGGAAAAACCGCAAAGCCTTGGAAAAGTATGACCACTGTGATTGGCCAGTTAGTTGGTAGCGTACCGACGGCTGTAAACGAGACTGCACATGCGTAAACTGTAATGTGTTTTTGTCTTGAATTTTTCCAAATTTATTTGGAATATAGAATTCGTTTATCAGTTTAAGATAATAAACAAAAAAAATTATTATACAACTAAACTCAATAGTATAAGCCAATAGTATAACTTAATAACAAAAAGTAAGATCACAGGACAAACATTACTATAAATTATAACTTAAATTAAAAATATGAAATGTACCTTGCATACACCGAATAAACTTGCTAAAACAAATTAATACAATGCTTTTAAATTGAACATTTCTATTTCAAAATCACAAATTTTTAATTTGTCCTACTGAAGTTTCCTTATCTTAATAAACTATAAAAAATTATTCATTTATTTTACATTTTATATTAATTAAAATATTTATTACAACACATTGAATGATTCTTATCAAGATCAGTGAACAATATTTTTTAATTGGTATAATGAGGTGTGCATAGAGGTTAGACATTTACCTATGCATTGTACATTTTCAGTAATATGAACTGCAATAAAATTAGTATAAGCACTTGCATTATTAATTGTCAATCAGTGGGTACCATTATTAAAATTAGTAAAACTAATAAGACTTTAAATTTCTAATTGGACAAAAAATTACAAAAAAAGATTAGTTAAACCTTACTGATTTTAATTCACATATTTAATATTTTTAATCCGTACATTTTAAGAGTTGACTGTTTTTGCATCAGTTTATCATTGGTTAAAGCCTAAAGGTTATAATGTTAAGACAGACAATTCTATATGATGTTTTAAATTTAACAATTGATATATTATTGATCTTTAGCTCATATAGTCATATATATTATGCACTGATTGTACATTTAAACAGTACATACAATTTAAAACATATAAAAATTACAAAATTAAAAATATGGAAATATTGTAACCTTTAGGTTAGACCTATTTAACCTAACCTTTTGTTTCTGTTGGCTTTAAGGATTAATTTTCAAACAAAATTAAACATTTACTATATATTAAATTTTAATATAACATTCAATTTTTGAAATGTGAATTTACAAATTATTTAGATAGAATAAGAATAAGAATCATTATATTCTAATCGCATAGAATTGAAATAGTTATTTATGTAATAAGTGAAAAGAACTATAACAATAATTGTTAGTTCTTTTCATTTAAATTGTAATTATTATAATACATTTTATTTTTAAAAACTATTAAAAACTTTTATTCTATGTTAACTGCAGTTTAAATAAATATGTTTAACTTACAAATCTTCAGAAGGAAGATTCAATGTAATACTTCCTAATTTAACAGCGTCTCCATATCGCAAGTATCCAAAAAATCCAATTGACGTGTACAGACATGTGACAATGACCATTCCAGTATTTAAAACACCAGTCATTCCACCAAAAGACTCTGGATTTTTCATGTTATTTTCCAATGGTAAAACCTATTCATACATTTTTACATATTACATAGTGAAATACAGTTGAAAGCATTTTGTTTGTAGATTTAAAATTATAATATACCATTCCAATGCCTTCAAATGCGTAAACTGCAGTTCCAAAATAAAGGGGTAACTGTTGCCAAGAAGAAAAAGCTTTAACACTTAATGTTTTTGGAAGCCCTTGAAGTAAATAGAAAAATGTTATTCCTAATCCAATCACAGTTAATATGGTTGCCAAGAAAGATGCCGGAGTCAGGTACTTTAGACTCTTTACACAATTCAAAAGTATCATTGGCACCAGTAGTATAAGCAAATATGATTGAACAGACATTTTAACAGAAAAGTAATGAGTTATCACCTAAAAATATTAAATAGTTATAGTTAATCAGCTCTTAGAAATATTCTTAAATTATTTACCTCTTGTAAATTAGTGGCCACAAACAAGAAATACACACAACAAAATCCCAGTTGAGTCATAACTAGGAACGTATTAATAAATTTACTAGCAGCTGATGAATATTTTTGTAATTTGGGTGGCCCATATTCAAAAGCCATTTCTGCGACATTAGGAAATGAAAGAGATGGTCTTTGAGTTCTGACACATAATTCATGAGAGCATCGAACCTAAACAAAGTACAGTCAATTTGTTACTAACAATACAATTTAATATAATTAACTATTGAAATGAGTATTATATATGCATACCAATATGTGCATACAATGTGTGCAAACAGCTCCCAAAAGTGCTGTACACACTAAACCTACAACCCAACCAGAATTTCTGAATGCATCAGGCATAGCTAAGATTCCAGTGCCAATATTTCCCTTTAGTAAATGTATCATGGTATCAAAATTCCTTAATAAAAAAAAAAAAAAAAATATTTATCTTTATATTAAACTAACAAAACAAATCTATGTAATGTACTAAAATATAATTTTTAGGACACATAATATATTGATTATAAGTTTTGGATAAACTAAATTACAATATAAAAGAAATATAATATGCAAAATATTACATTTAGTGATCTTGAATTAAAATTAAGATAAATTGTTCTTGATAAATAGTAATTGGCACGTACACATTAACATAAACTTAATTAACCTATTGAATATTAACAATAAATGGTTGAGGTATATGTTTATTGATAACTATTAGGTAGTTATTGGAATTTTTCTACCTATTCAAATAATTCAACTTTGTACATATTATGATAAGTAATTTATATCAAACCTTAATAAAATTATTTTAAAATGATTAAATAGCACGTGAATCATAAGTCCTAGTTCACGTGATTAAAAGTTGTGTATTATTTTCTATCTTATTGCTTACATTTGACAAATAACTTAATACTAACATTTTAGATCATAACATTCAGTCATTATATTATTTCCCATTTTAAAAGGACAATTTGTTTGTCATTAGTCATTAATCATTAATAATAAACATATTATTAAAAACATTCAAATCAGATATTATAAAACTAACAAATTAAATGTCGATAATAACTTACGATGTTGGATTTTCTAATTGTCGGTTTAGCAATGGATTATAATCTGATGTCAATCCACCATTAGCACCATTTTTTTCCAATGATTCATTCATTGGACCACTAGAAATGTTTGTAACAGGTAATGTTCTAGGAGATGGAGAAAGAAAACTACTTCTAGAATATCAATAAAAGTAATCATTTTAAATAGTAATAATTATTAACTTTAATTATGTGTAATATTAATTAAGAACAAAATTATAATTATTATATATTTTTTTTACATAAGGACATAAAAATTAAATTAGTACGGACTTATATTCTGTATAATTAAAAATTAAATGTTTAAATGCACGGTAAGGTTTATTTCTGTTAAAATATATTATAAGAAAATTGTTTTCTTTTAAAAAACATTTAAAAATATAGATGTACAATAAATCTTATAATAGTGCAATTTTTATAATCTAGCAGTGATATATTTATTATGCTACATTTAGTTCAAAATGTAAATTAACTTACCCATTTTGGTTGTAGAGTGTAGCTGTACCAGTTAATAGTGGTTTGTCTTCATTCACTCTAGAAGTTTTTAAAGTCATTTTATCACAATTTACCTAAAAATATAATCAGTTTGCAATTAATGTAAAACCATTCTAAAAAAATTAAAAATACATAAATAGTTCAAAAATCAAAATATTTATACAAATTAACAGTAAGTTATTCTTTGCATGGATATCTAAGACTACATAAACGTTTAATGAAATAATTATTTGGAAGTTATAATTTGTATATAAATTATAATAATCTACTAATTGTGTGATGTTAACCCTAATTCATAAATATAAAATATAATTAGATCAATTCTTATATCATGCTTAATGAACTTACTTTCTATATTTATTGTTAAAAAAATATATATACTTTTAAAACATTACAATCATAAATTATTGATTGTAGTATTTAATTAATCAGAAGGTGTTTATAGTTTGACTGTTGTAATTCAAATAACGATTATATTTTGTAACTGAATGAAATAAATATTTATATACTCCTACTCTTATTTCTTATCTTTGTGACGTAAGTGAACAATGCAGAACTAATAATCAATACATAATATTTAAGTTAGTAATAATTTATATAAATATGAACCTATACATTTTTTTTATATATATATATACAGTTAATATATTTTTTAAATTTTAACTAAGAATATATAAATGATTTTATCAAAACCTAACATATAATTGAAATTTTACACTCACCTATAAAAAATGCATGAATAAAATAATACTTATGTATAGAAGATATGTAGTTAATTGAGGATCAAACAATTTTAATCTATACAAATATAACTTTAATTATATTGATACATTTTAATTGTAAATAGGAGATATTTTGGGAATATGAGATCTCCAATTAAGTATTTGCAGGGTACTTCCGTGTTATCTCGACTACTTTAGGTTCACAACCGTGTTATCTCAACTACCAAAATATTTCCAAGACTACCTATTATATGATCAACCGTGTTATTTCGACTACCGCAATTTTTTAAATAATAAAAATATATAAAATACATAGGTTAAATCTATTCTGAATAATAATATAAATCTATTTTGAAACACGATAAAATGGCATAAAAATGTGTATAGAAAAAATTGTAATAATATAATATAATATAACAATTTTAATAATATAATATAAAAAATAAATAAAAAATGTAATAATAATTTTTTTGAGGAGGAAAGCAGGTTTTAATATCCATTAAAATCTTATTAAACGGTGGATCGTTACCAAGGTTTTGTCGCCAAACAAATTCAGTCAGGTATGAATCTAGATGATGGCGAGCTGTTCCCCTATGTTTTTTGTTTCGCCACTTTGCCGATCCCCAAAGGCGTTCAATTGTTTGGGTGTGTGCTCCTGTGGTTGGGTCAACAAAATTGTATGTATGATTGACAGTATAGTGATTGAAGACGGATGATTTTAATAATTTGCTGGAATATAAATTTATTAATAAATTACGGTCTACGGAGGTAGTCGAGATAACCCGGATGATTCCAACAGGTAGTCTTGGGAATATTTGGGTAGTCGAGATAACCCGGAAGTACCTATTGCAGTATATTAGTTTTTATTTGTTACTAGGTATTATTATGTTACTAAAATAGCGTAAATTCATCTCAAATTTGAAATTATATATTTATTATTACCTTAAGTAAAATAGTTATATAGTTAACATGATTTTTAATAAATGTTTATATAATTTCTATAAACCAGATTAAATTATAATTATTATTAGGGCTCAGAACTTGATGCTTTTTTACCTCTAATGCATTGCTCGTTTCTACAGACTTTGATTGAATGTAGAATTTAATGGTAACATGCTTATTTTAGGTTATTGTAATTGTAGGGAATTTCATACTTTATTGCATTTTTATTATTTTTCATAAATTATTGCAGAGTAGTCATGCGTCAAAATTATTTCTATAAATAGAAAATTAAATACTTTTTCAGAATTTGTCTCCTATTTGTACGACATCAACTATTTTGAATTTCAAGTAATAAAAAAATCAAATAAATCCCTACTTATTATACTCAATTTAAAATAATATTAAAAACAATTCAATATATTCTAGAATCTGAGTAATATTAATGGTGAGGTAACCAGGGTACTTAAAATACAATAATACCACAGTGATAATTATATGAAAACAGACGTTAGAAGTTAAAATTAATAAACTGTATAGGTATAAATCTTGTAAAATATATGTGTCTCATAATTGAAAAATATTTTTTTTTAATCTTTTGATAGAGTTAAAATAATGTAGGCTAATAAAAATAAAAAATAAGCTAGGTACCTATCTTTTATATTTATTTGTACTTTTAACACTTGTGATAAACTAAGATTACATTGCAATTATAAAGTTGGGACAAAAGCTATAAATCCATCTCGTTTTTTATAAAATATGTAATTTTGGGTTTTAGTATTTAAATTTTTCAATTACAAGATTAATTAAAATTATCAACATTCCTATTTCCTAAACAAAAATAAAACTATTAATTCTTAATTAAAGCCAACATGATTATTTCTCAACTTCTCATTCCTATGACCTTAATATAATTGATAAACAAACAGATTATAATATGATGTGTTATTTAATTTGTGATATAGGTACATGTGTACAGATTCAAGATTATAAATATATATATTATATAAACATAATTAACAAAAAGAAAAAAAAACATTGGTTGCCTTAATCAGTTACATTTAGTCTAAGTTAAGGCCACAAGACCCCAAAAAGTGGGGTGCTATAATTGTAAATGTCTAAAGATACGTTTTCCCTGCAGCGTCAAGCGCCATTACTGGTACGGACATAGGTCGGCGTCTGAGGTCTGTCATGGCCGTGCTGTTCCACTGTTTGACGCTTTAGGGAAAATGGAAGCCGTGTGGAGCTTTGTCCTTCATCCTCATACCCACAGGCCCCAATTACTAAAATTACATAATCTTACAAGTTACAAATCTACTTCTTGTTAGGATATTAAGATTTGGCTGATAAAACGTTAGTACAAAACTCATGAGGGTTTACCAGTAATACACAGTCGACCACAGCGTACATATATGTAACCCATTGGCTAAAAATAGCTCGTAACTCGTAAGTAATCTATTTAAACTTAATGTGTATCATAATGCTAATTAGTAATTGTCTATCAACTATAGGAATATGTAATAGTTTATAACAAATTAATATTATGACTCAGGGGCGTACCCAGGAATTTTTAAAGAGGGGGGTTCTACATTTTTTTGACATGTAAAAAGTATACAGTAAGTGATTTGCACCTTATGAATTTTAAATTCTGTTAGTCAATTTTTAATCAATAGGGGGGGGGGGGGTCCAAACCAGAAAACCCCTCCCTTGGGTATGCCCCTGAATATGACTCAAGTCATAATTATCACCATAAGTTTTAAAATTTTTTCGGTTAATATTTCATAGGTAATTTAAAAACATAAAATTTCCCCATAATAATCATATAATAGTTAGACCTAAAAAGCTAGAGATGGAAAGACCCCCTAAGTGCGCCAATAGGGATGATATAAAATATATTATATTATAATCATTAGAACATTTGTTATTAAAAACAAAATGATGGAATACCTATAGTCCATTATATCTTATTTATTAACCTTTAAATTATTCTATATAACTTATTTATTTTCTATTTAAATATCCAATTATCTCTAAACTTATACTTCAAACATTTAACACAAAAATTATGCAAGTGTTACAACAAGTCTTACAACAAATTATAACAAAAAAACATATGGTATTATGTAAAAACTAGTGTTGTGTATTAAATATTTCAGTTTTCTCAATTAAAAAAAAATATATTGGGATTACCTTATTTTTGACAATCCCAAGTACTTACTAACTACCAAAATAAAAATAAAAAAATGTCTAACAAACATTTGAAATAATAATAAATGTATATTGCGATTATTTCACTTGGATGAATATTTTTAGTTTTATTTGAAAGCGATATTAATATATAATTTTAATAAAAATGTGAATAACAATGAAACCATGTGTAGCACAAGCATTTTTTCTTTTATCAATGGCACCATTAAAAAAAAAAATAGTTATAATTTATTTATTAGGATACTGTGCACAAAATATTATTTATTTGTTTGTAAAAGGAATTGTTGAAATTTGTTTTATAATCTTCTTTAAACATATTACATAAAGAAAGGTAATAACCTAACCTTTATCCCACTCTATAATAAGCTGATTATCTGTGTTTTAATAAACATATTATACACTATACAGTTTGTTGAAATTGTGTATCTACTACTTACTAGTCAAAATGTAATCATTATGAAACTCGAATCTTAAAAAAAAGATTGCCATACTGATACACTTACATAATTTTTTGACCTTTTAAAGGTTTTTTTACTAGAAAAAAAAATTGAACATAAATAAAAAAAAACATGAACTATAAAGAAATTAATTTACAATACCTAGATCATTTAAAAACAAAGGATTTTCAAGATACCTAATAGAGCATTATAAACTGTAATCAATTGTCACAACTAATGAACTAATTACTGTCAATTTTTATTATATAATATATAAATATATTATAATTTATGTTAAAGTAGTATTTATTCTTATAAATTAGATTTTTGGTGATTATAATTAAAATTTAAGTAGGTACTAGATAGGTCTTATTAATTCATTTTCTTAACTATCTATAATAATTAGTTAATCATTAATTAGGAACGATTAACTACTCACATTACTCGCTTGCGCTGGCTTTGCTGCTTGGACTTTGATATGGTTATCATTAATGCTGAAGTCTCCATTGATCTCAGTCTAGATATAATAATACAAATGTGAATTACCAATTGGCAATTAGTTACTAACAATATACATATTTACATCAATGCAATGTAATGTCATTATATATGTATACCATATTGAAATAGTACTCACAGTCATATTGATAGTCACAAATTTTTTGAATAAATTTCGGGAGTAGGTAATCAATTTTTTATTGCTGATGTTTTTCTATTCTATCAATGGTTTTCATTATTTCAGACATTCACGTACCAGACACCAGTGTGTCGCACAATAAAAAGAATTACTGACAGCACAACAAAAAAATATTTCTCAATTTACTTAACAACAAACACAATAAAGATCAATTTAGTCTCATTCCCGTATTACCAAATGGTAAAATAGAAATAGTAATAGCATTGAGTATACTATAATGGTGAACGCTGCCAATTCCGTTATCTCATCATATTTGTTATCTATGCGTGCGAAAGGCCTCAGCTGTTTAGTGATACCTAAATGATAATATTATTATTTATTATAATTTATATTCATTATTCATGTTTATTATTCAAATCATAGACCAATTATTAACTGTCTAGTGGAAGTATGGTCTATGATTCAAATATTATTTAATAATAATAATCAGTATATTGTACATTTGTACTTTTTATTATTCGATATTCGCATTTTATTCGCTATTTCAATATCATAATTCATAGAATAGTCGACATCGTGGGGAACCTACTTTAGAGTATAGTTCTCCACTTCTCCCTGTGTGTATTATTGTTAACGAAGTACGCACAGATCTTATATGATGGTGACGAAATGACGAATCATTTAAATTGTTCCATAAACTAAGCGGAACCCACGCACTAAATAAAATGATAAAACGCCTCCAAACACAGGACGTTCTTTTGTTCAATCACTATTTTGTTTGTTGTTTAGTTAAGTAGGTCATCTGAGTCATCAAATCATAACATTTTATACCACGAATGCACATTCTTTATACCTACCTACAATATGAATAAATAAAATATGAATAATAAGTTGGGGTATAATATATATTACTATTATAATATACAGTTATTTACGCATCATATCAAACGAATAGTAAATAAATTGTGAAATAATACACATATAAGTGTATAAGTCAGTTATAAGTTTCGTAACCTACCAGTACTGGCCAGAACCTATTATTGGTTATTCACTATTCAGATTTCAGGTTATTGTGTTATGCTTATGACATTATATTAATATCTAATATTCTATTACATTTGTATATATTGCAAAATAAACAACAACTGTAATAGTGTAACCTTCGAATTAGAAGTATAGTAATCTGTAAACGAACGATGAGTAAAATTGAATGAATATAATATACCAATCACCAATGTCCAATAGGTACCTACCAATAAATTAATATAATGCGTGTATACCTAATACTATAGGCTACAATACAACTGACCAATTTTATTTCCAGTAAAAAATAATACGTATGTTATAATACTATTAATACTTGTCCCTATAAAAGCCTGATAAATTGTTAATAAAATACACCTAAACGATAATATGAAACGGTTATAAATACTCCCCAATATAGGTCTCAATGTTTCCTATGTGAGTGTTGTAACTTGTAAGGAAATAATTTTAGATTGAGAAAAAAGGTACTGGAATATCGTGAGGTTATTTGAGTGGCATAAACGCATAATTAGGAATTTGATTTGGGTTTTTTTTTTGGGGGGGGGGGATTATATGTTTTTAGTAAACATGAATGGTCATTACTCATTATTAGGGCAGAGGACTTGTAGCATTTGCATATTTTATTTTGCACAGTCACAAAAATATCAGTGTGAAACAAATGCGTTTCATGCTTCCACAAAGCTATTTTTGAAATTTTATTGTGCATATAAATGCATATTTTGCGTTTTTTCGGGTTTTAGGGCAAATTTCTTCCATTTAATACTTTTAGATACTTTTAGATTTTAAATAATTTATAATTTTACCAGTATATTTTTGTCGATGTTTTTATTTATTTATTCACACAACCAACTTTGATATTATCGAAGATATTTCTCGAGATTTGCCGATCGAATGCCGCAATTTGTCGGGTTATAAAATTGAAACAAGTACACGGTACAGTGGGAAAAATGATTCAAGAAAAGATGAATGATGTTTTAGAGAATACTGAAGGTTACCAAACATTAGCTCAAATTTCAAAAAATTTAACTGGAGAAGATACTTTAATGGCCAGAATACCTGAAAACTTGAGCCTTGGCGATTTAGCATACTTTAAATATGCTCCTATAAATTCCGTTGATGTGGAACCGGAACGTTCTTTTTCAATGTATAAAGTTCTGCTATTCAACAATAGGAAAAGTTTTACGTTTGACAATTTGAAAAACACCTTATTGTCCAATGCAAGTTCCAAGGTACAAATTTGTGTTAATCTAAAATATTTGAAACTAAAATATTTTGTTAATTGTTTTTTAAGTAGTCGAAGAAGTTGAAACTTTTAAAAAAGGATCCAGTTAAAATAATAATTCAAATAATTAATTGAAAGTTGTTAAATAAAGTTGAAAATAAAATTTATTCATCAAAATAATAAGTACAAACAGAAAAATTTTAATTTTTTATTCAAAAATATCTACTTTAAAATGCACATTTCTTATATTTAATACATATTTTGTATTTTTAAATGCATATAATGGCAGTGGCGTATTTACGGGGGGGGGGGTCCATGGGGTCCGGACCCCCCCCCCCCCCCCCCCCCCCCCCATTGCCTCGTGTCTCGTACATGTTAAATGTTGTGTTTTTACATGATCAATAAAAACAAATTTTATCATACGATACGAACAATTTTATAAACAATTTTCGAAGCTATAGTTACCAACATTTTCAATAAATATCTTGATTATTTTTATCAGTTTGGTACCGAAAATGGTTGAAAAATAGCAAGTTCAATTTTAATTAAAATATTTTGTAGTTTTGTACATAGCCAGTATATACATTATACAATCACTCCAGAGAGATCTTTTTCAACCTTAAAAAGGTTGAAAAGCTATCTATAAGATCAGGGGCGGATTGGCGAATTTTTTCGGCCCGGGAAATATGGTTCAAACCGGCCCTGCACCGCAAATGTAACCCCCCACCAAAAAAAAAATTTCATCATTTTACTCACATTTCAAAATTTGTTTAGTTTCACAAATAAATTAGTAAAATATATAATAGGTAGGTACCTATAATTAAAGTTATAACAGTTTAGGGTTAGTCAGATAAGGTTAACCTGTTCAGACTGTTCTAACTCGAACTTGAAGTTTGATCTTATTACATTTTAGATTCTGAGCGAAGTGATGAATGTATTGATTTTACAATGATGTGTTTTTTTTAATTTTTTAATTTTAATTTAAGTTTTTTTTTTGCGTCTGTCATCAAATTTTAGGACAGTAAAAATAGTAAATACTTTGATTTTCTTCATCTAGATTCACTTTTCTGATAGGAAAGTTAATCTAGTTGGTACTTTGGGGGGTCAAAAATAAAAATGTCCTGGTTGTTTTCAAAAGTGCCGTGAAAAACAAAAGAAAAATTAAGTAAATCGGGAAATTTTTACGCAAAATCTGTTTTCGAGAAAGTCGATTTTGGTTTTTGAAGCAACTCCAAAATAAATATGATTATGTAGGTACACGAAATTTTGACCGAATGTTTATATTAGTATTTTCTATACACCATAACATTTTGACTTACTTTGAGCTGTTTACGGACATTTTCATTTTTTTTTTCTATAAATATCAATAAAATTTTATTTGTTGGTTAAAAAGTTTGAAAATGTAATAAAAAGCTCCTATTATATTGTTTCAGAGGCAGATGAAAAAAATTAAAAATCCAGTCACAATTTTTTTCTATAAGCATTTAAAGTTCAAATATTGACAAAATACGTAAAAATGACGAAAGTTTGCAAATTATTTTGAGTTATAAATTCGTAAACAAATTTTAAAACACATTTTTAATACAAAATTCCTCATAAGTTTGTCTACCTTTATCAAAAAAAAAAAATGTCAACAAGAAAGTCAAATTACATTTTTATGACCTTCTGAAATTCAAATTTTTACAACATTTGATATTTACTCGATTTCTCATGTAATGATTTTCTTATTTTGTTGTGATTAAAAAACAAATGACTGTAAAATGTAGATACTTGAAAATTTCACTGAATATTTATATTAGCATTTTGAATACACCATACAATTTTGAAAATAATTATCTCTTTTTGATGTTTTAACGGACCATTTCAAATTTTAATTTGTTTAGTTTTTTTTTTCTATAAATACCAATAAAATTGTATTTGTTGAGCCAAAAAGCCTGAAAATTGAATACAAGGCTCCTGATATATTGTTACAATATCAGTTGAAAAATATTAAATATACATAGCCATACATTTTTTTTATAAGCAATTAAAGCTCGAATTTTGACAAGATTTATCAAAATTTAATAATTATTTTGTTGTTAAAAATTTATAAAATGTTGAACATGTATATCTATAAGGATTGAAAATTTAAAACAATTTTCCAGGTAAATAGGTTCCATTAACCGTTTTTTCTTTTTTTCTCGTACCTTTTCAGCTCCACCCTACTTTCGTTTTTCACCAGCATCACACATAATTTAAATTGCACAGTTCAATTGAATTTGTACACTAAACACACTTCTGTAAGTACAGTAACTCGTTTGTGTAAAAAGTTCAAAATCAAAAAAAAATACAAATAATGATAAGATAAGGTTATCAATGTTATCACGTAACTAAATTCTACCATAGAGTATAAAATATAAATACTAAAATACCAATACCACAGATTTCTAAATAATACATTAGCATGAATTGGAGGGATAATAGTGTAAATACCAAAATTCCTACTATGAATTGCAATAGTTTAAGATATTAAAAATAATACCTTCGTAGGTATTTGATTTTTAATATATTTTATGCTTAATTTATAAAAATTTATTTTTTTTTTGTAATTATATTGTAATAATTATAGCGGCCCTGCAGGCCCTCACAAGAACCGGCCCATCGGGAAGATTCCCGATTTCCCGATAGGCCAATCCGCCCCTGTATAAGATCAACTATGAATGAAGTAGCCATGTAGGTACCTAATGTATTTAAGGAAATATTTGTATAAAGGTTATAACATAACTATATATTAGATTCTGAGCGGAGATTCTTATTGGTTTTACAATACTGTTTATTTTTTTTTCCTGTATACAAAATTTCTACTAGAAGGAGTGCTTCGATTTCAACATGACGTATAGACATATAGTATCTTATCTTTTAGAAAATTGGATCAAGATGGTACTTTAGAGAGGTCATTTTTCGATTTTCTCAATAATTATTTTATGCCTCGGGAAAAACCACCGAAAAATTACTAAAAATGGGATTTTAATTTTTAACGCTTTGTCTATCACTATAGAAACGAATAAAAAAAAATAAAAAAATATTTCATTTAAATTCAACTTACAGGCTATAATAAATAATAATAACAATATAAAATATCCAGACTGACAAACCGTCTCCGCTCAGAATCGTTTTTCTTATACAATGATATTATATCATTGAGTTCAAGTTTAATACAATCCATTATGCATTGACCCACTTGTAACCTACTGTACAGCAGCAGAGCGACATCCACTTACCCGCTTTATTTAAATTTGTTTTGTACACATTATTATTTAATAATTAAAAACTCGAAAATTTTATATCGTCTTATAAATATGGTATATATTTATTTAATAAAAAGTAAATGGGTGGTGTGGGGGGCTTTGCCCCCCGTGGATATGTGTTCTGAAAATTATCTGGACCCTCCCCATGACAAATTCCTAAATACGCCACTGATATATGGTGACGTTTTAGAGCTACAAGTCCTCTGCCTTACTCATTATCAATACTTATCACTTTGATCAATTATATGTTAGCTGTAAAAAAAAAAAAGTTTTGGCGGGATCTATCCCCCTAATCATCCCTAATTACGCCTCTGAGTTATTTATGTCTCATTAAGGTGTCAATATTACCCAAGTTTGTAATTTGTAAGGAATTCATTTAAATTTTTAATTATTCATGATGAGATCAATTAATATTGCAGTTAGTGGGAATGCAAAAAAAGCCCCATAAATGATTTTAAGTTTTCAAAAATTTAAAAATAATTAACAACTATTTCTCCAACCAAATATTTTTCAAACAAATATAGGTACCTATACTTAATTTCAGTGGCGTAATTAGGATTTTGCTGCCCTGGGTACACATTTTTTTAGTGCCCTCCTACCCCTCCCGGTTTTTTTAAAGTGGCAATGTGATATAGTCAGGGTCGGACTGGCCAATATAACCGACTAGCCATAGCCAGTAAGGCCCCCTTGTGTGTATGACTATTTGGGGCCTCATCTAATGAACGGAAAAATCATAAGTATAAATATATGAACTGTACATTTATATAATATATTATATTTGTTTAATAATAATCAAACATAAAAAACAGTGTAGTTTAGACGAACATAACATGTTTGTGACGTCTTAACGTTTCTGTTATCGTCTCATCGATGCCAATTAAAAATAATAATATATATGATTGATCATTATTGGAATTTTAGAGGTATTTATTTTTAGAACTGAAAACCTATTCTTATTGCTTTGAGGAATACTTCAATCAGTAGGTACACAATGATACGTATATTTCCTTGATTTATAAAAATATAAAAATTGTATTAAAAATGATATTGTTATTTCAATATTAATTGTTTATATTGTGTTTTAACAATTAACACAATGTGTTTGATTCTATAGGTACATACTATTCTATAAAGCCTTCTACATTTTCCTCATTGTCATAAATTAATAAATAACATTTTTAACAATTATCAAAATAGGTAGTTAAAAAAATTTTGATAATTTATTATAATCGATCTCTAAAATATACTATAAAATAAATTGTAAATAAATTTAACTAAAGAAAACAGTAAATAAAGATAAATATTGTGTTTTGAGTAACAATTGTAAATTATAAAGTTTATTTATGATCATTTTTTGTGAAAAAAATTTATCAAATTTACAAGACAGTTATTATTTATCACTATTGTTGACTGTTGAGGCCCTCTCTATAAGTAAACTGCCAGTGGGGCCCTTAGTACCCAGTCCGACTCTGGATATAGTATAATAGTGTCAATTCAGTGCCCTAACTAGGCTACTTGATGCCCGTGTGCAAAGCCAAAATATTGAGGCCCCTTATTATCTTTTTCAATACACACCTCAAGAACTTTTTTTTGCAATTTTTAAAGTCAGCAGACTAAAATTCGGGCTTAAACAAAAAAAAATGTTTAATTTAAAATAATCTATAATTTTAAAAATATTTCTCAAGGCCATAACTAACTCAAAAAAGTAAAAATTTTCCAAAATGTAATTTATTGAAAATATTAATATAAATATTTGGTGAAAACTTCAATGGTCTTCAAAACTTCAAAACTTCAACGGTCATTAGTTTTCGAGTTATACCAAAAAATAAAATTTTTGGTTTTAGGTAAAAATGACAATTTATTTTTATTTTTTTGAAGCTTTGTAATATCTAAAACTAAAAATTTCGGTTTCGATCTCCAAAAAGTACCAACTAGATTCACTTTTCTAACAGAAAAAATGCTGATCTTGAAATTCGGAATATTTTTCCACCCAATGTTGATGACCGACAGAAATGAAAAATATTATACACGTCTTGTAAAATCAATACATTTGTTCGTTCCTCTCAAAATCTAAAAACAGTGATCACGACTCCATGCTATATAAAAAAAATGAAATAACATTGGTTTCGTTTCCAAATCAATAATAAATAATTTATATATTTTAATAATTTTATATTAGTTTAATATTAGTCTTTAGATCTTTTGAGGCCCGAGGCCTGTGTGCGGTGCACATTTTGCACACCCGGTTTTTACGGCACTGAGTGTCATGCTGTATAAAAATCTATCAAATGCCTGTAATAACAAAATAACCAAAGCAAATTTAAAATATATTAATTCATTTTTTATGAATTTATAAAATAGTAAACATATTAAAAATTAATATTTCAATAACATTCTTCCATTAAAATCAATATAAATATTTTCAAACAACTTGTACCTTGCATTCTTACGTACGATTTCCGTTTTTCCTCAATTTTTTTTTGTTTTCCTCGTCACTTTTAAAAAACTACTGGAAATCTTCTATTTTTGACTCCTTTAAAGTACCTACCAACTAGATTCTAAGATTCTAGATTCCAGCTAGAATTTTACACCAAACAAGATACCGTCAGTTAATGTTAATGTTGAAAATCGAAACATTTTTTAATTTCAACCATTTATACTCAGTTGTAGACACCACGGTCCACGGCTTTAGATACTGTCTAAAGCCGTTTTGTTATTTTATAGACACACACATTATAATATTGTAAAAGCATTGCCTCCAACGCTCCGCTCAGAATATACCTCCTAATAATATAATTATGTACGAAATACAATAAAAATAATATTATTGTCATCAGTAATTATTTATTATTAGATTAGAAAAGTATGTTAATATACATATTGAGAGGACGTTAGTACGTACAAGTTACAAGTGCGTAACATAGCAAATCTTACGCTCGACCGATCACGTTTAGCTCCGTTAGTTTAAAAATTAGAGTGAATTGACCTCTTATAAAATCTAAAGGTAAAATTATTATCTAGGGCATCTCATAGGATCTAAAATGAAATAATATTCATTCATAAATTTATTTATTCTGCTATATTGTTACGGAAGATCCATGGATAATGTTATTTAATATTAATTATTATTGAATCGTGTTTATACAGTGACATCTAGTGACTTATTAACACACTAACATTTTATGTACCTAACTTCCAGCTGTCATCCGTAAAACCGTAACCGTATCACACTCGTTGCTCACTTTGATATCTAATCGAATCTTTTTTGTTGTTGCTATGATATAGACATATAGTTATGGTAATAATATGTTCGCAGACCGCCCTGTACAGTACACCGACTGAAAGACTGAATACTTGCGTTCTCACGGTTTTTACTTTTAACTTTTCATCCATTTCAATCCGTCGAGAATCGTTCTAATACTCCATCATGGTTGCGTTTTCGGGATCTGGCGATTCCAAACAGGCGACTAATGCCTATAAAGACAAGAGCAAGCCAGCTGAAATAAGAAAAAGCAACATCTCGGCTGCTAAAGGTTTGAGCGAAACATACGACACTTATTTTTATTCAAGAATACCTGTTTAAGTTTTTCCTAAGAAACCAATACGAATATTGTATACTGCATTTCAACCCTTATCGTTACCGTTTCAATCTTCAGCGGTAATAAAAAAAAAATAAAAACTACCGTTTTCTACTTTCCCATAGTTCAGTTTCGTGTTATTTCAGTTAAAATCATCGTACCTATACATTATTATACTATTTAAATTGAGTTGATTTGATTCCTTGTTTATGCAGGACAAAATTTGTTATTTTATTGTTTTAGAAACTTCTATATGGTTATATTCATTAACAAGTCCGGATTAAAGTATAAGTAGTATAGGCAATAAATTAGTGGTACATCACTACATTTTAGAAGACACCAAAGAAGAGGCTAATTTTTTATGGATATTGTACCTATTGAATTTTAATGAAAAAATATACATGCTGAACTTAAACATACAGAAGCGGACTGGGGCAACTATTCGGCCCGGGAAATCTATATTTTGACCGGCCCTGGTCATTTTGTCATCACAAAATGTAAAAACTTAAATATGGTACCAATGTTTTAACAAAACATGATGGTTGCATACTCGACTCATCTTCAATTTTCTCAGAAAACAACTTAAGATTCCACGAGAGATTCAGTGTGTTTACTAATTAACTATCCATAGTACAGACTACACCTAATGTATTAGGTACTTATTTTCTATTACCTATGTAGGCCTACTCTATAACTCAGCCGTTATGGATGAAAAACATAGGTCAATCTTTAAACTGCTCTAACTTGATTTATCTAAGAGTTTCATTTTTCTCTCTCTGGTTTTCTCAGCACCACCCTTTCTTTTAGTTTCCATTTAAATAAGCAATAGTGAAGTAGATATTAAAAAATCACCAAACAACACACTACAATAAAATAAAAAACAAGTAAATAAATTCACTTTTATTAATTAAGAGGATGTGATACCCGCATGTGTTGTCTCTGTCTCAAAATGCTGTGATGTATAGGAAAAAATTTAGGGAGGAGTTTTAACCCCTATCCATTCCCAAATACGCAACATACTTATTGTTAACTAATGATAAGTACATTATTTTTATTTCTAGCTGTTGCTGATGCTATCCGTACAAGTTTGGGTCCAAAGGGAATGGATAAAATGGTAAATATATGTTAACATTAATTAATAAGTATAAATACAATTTTATTAGGACTTGAACTTTATTGGGTATCATAAATACCTATATTTTTTTACATATCTTTATTTCTATAATTGTATATTTAGATCCAATCGGCAAATGGTGAAGTAGCTATAACAAATGATGGTGCTACAATTTTGAAACAAATGAATGTAATACACCCAGCAGCAAAAATGGTAATACTTAATTAAGTTTATTTGTTTTTTTTAAAAATGTTCTTGTAATAAATCCTAAAAATTTATTATAGGTAATTAAATCATCTTTAAAGTATTTTATTTTATGTTTTACTAACATCTTTTGTGAACAAGTAACCAACACTGAAATTAAGTGGTAAATCATTTAATAGGTTAACTCTTAGATAATTTACTATGTATAGAGCTACTGGCTAAATATCTGAAGCCAATCTGCATGTGCACAATTTGATATCATGCATTCACACACGGTTGATACTACTGTTATCATCGCTGGTTTAGTGATAAATATGCTACGAGTACTGACACCTATGTGCAATAGAAAATAGAAATCATTCTGATTCACCTTTGCGGCTCGTCTTTATGATGTCTTCAACACGTATTACGCATTTATAATGCAGTAGCTCCATAGTATATGATCTAAGGGTAAACTATTACCTAATTTTTTCTTGGGTTAAGTTGGGTTGGTACTTGTCTTACTTAATAGTTTTCCTACCCACATGAATCCAAATAGTCTTAAAATATTACAATTAACCATAATATAGTTATTTTATTTTTATTCAATTCAAATTTCAGAAAATATCAATTTAAATAATAAATATGAATATTCAATTTTTTCCATTGTTACAGAATTACTTAAATATTAAATTTAATATTTATGGGAAATTTGATGAACAGGTATTATTAGCTCTGATAGATATCATATATTTGTGAATTTCTACTAATTTTTTAGGCATCTATAATTTAATCTTTAAAGTTAAAACAATATATTATATGTTTATCTCATAGTATTATGAATTTTTTTTTATGTTTAGTTAGTTGAATTGTCAAATGCTCAAGATGTTGAAGCAGGAGATGGTACAACTAGTGTGGTTGTTATCGCCGGAGCCCTATTGGAAGCTTCTGAAAAACTTTTGCAAAAGGGTATCCACCCTACTGGAATTTCAGATGGATTCCAAAAAGCTGCTGCCAAATCTATCGAGATTATAAAAAATATGGCTACTCCCATACTGCTAACTGATCGAGAAAGTTTAGTTAAAAGTGCTTCAACTGCTTTAAATTCTAAGGTGGTTTCACAACAATCATCATTATTAGCTCCTTTAGCTGTTGATGCAGTTCTAAAAGTTGTCGATCCTGCAAAAGATACCAATGTTGATTTGAAGGTATAAATCATTATATTTTGTTAATAAATAAACTTGTGTTCATGACTTTTTATTTATATAGGATATAAAAGTTATCAAAAAACTAGGAGGAACTGTTGAAGATACCAAGTTAATTGATGGCCTAGTGTTTACACAAAAATCTTCAAATGTAAATGGTCCAAGGAAAATTGAGAAAGCTAAAATAGGACTTATCCAATTTTGTATATCACCTCCAAAAACTGATGTAAGTAACATAGTATACACAATTTTTATTTATTTCTATTTATTTACGGAGTAAATTCATTTATCATAGTCCTAATATATAATATTGCAGTATAACAAACCTATGATGAAACATTACATTTAGTAATTAGTAATTACATATTATTTATAACATAAATATAGTACAATAAGAGTTGACAAAATATTAAATAATTATTGATTAATTACAAATTTAAGTGAATTAACCTTAAGCAATTAAAATGTTTATACAAATAATATACAATATAATAACTTATATTAATACTACTTAAAATACAGTATGTGAGAGAGAGGGAAAAATAAAATAATTTATAGAAATATATTATCAATAATTAAACATTAAATGCTGATTTAATATCATTTATATTGCTACAAAACAAATCTAATTTTATTGAATTGGCATTTGATACTAATGAATTTATCGGTGAAGGAAATGAGTAGTTACTACATACATTTTTTGAAGTAAATAAATCATTATTTCTCGTAAAATTAGTTTTTGCTTTAAAATTCAGTTTTTCTAATATTTCTTGGCATTCAATTTTATTATTTAACAATTTAAAGAGAAAAAGAAAAGATGGATATTTTCTACGATTTCTTAAAGTGGGAATATTAAAAATTCTAAATATTCCTTCGTAACTAGAATGGAAAGGTCGTTCAACATTACATTTGGAGGATAAAAATTGAAAAAAAGTCTTGAATGGAATCAAGAGATTTAAAATTAAGGAACTAGGAGACCAAATAAAAGCAGCATATTATATTCTATACTGTGTCCAACGAGAGAGCACAACTTGCTCGCACTTCCATATGAATGCACTCTGCAGTCTCGAGGTCTAATTTCCCCCACCATACAGTCGCGTAGCTTGTTTACAAAATTCACCATGCTCTTCGGCAGAGCTCTCTCGTTGTCAGATCAACAACTGGTAGCGGCATTACATGGGCCTGTGGGATATGCGCCTACTACAACGAGTTTTGATCGCCGCCAAGTTGCGCTCTCTCATTGGACAGAGTATAGCTGAGAATATATAATCGAAAAATAGATGTTTTTTATTGCGTAATGATTATTAAAATTTAAACAACTAACCTAATTTTGTGGATGCTTTATATTTTATCTTATTGATATATTCCTTGAAATTCATTTTTGTATCAAAAAATACACCTAAATCATTTATTAAACCTACACGTTGGATTTTAAACTTATAATTTGTAATTAAAATCAAAAATAGGTTTTAGTGAGAGAATGAAATAATTTAACATTTATTTATATTTAGTTCCATGCAGTTATTTGTGCACCAATTGCAAAATACTTCTAAATCTGATTGTAGTTCCAAAGCTTCAGAAACGGAGCAATAATAGCTATTGATTTTAGCTTCATTGGCAAAAATTAGAATATCAGTATGTTTTAATATAGAAGAAATGTCTTTGATGTATAGTAGAAATAATAGTGGAGCAATATTCTTGTGGTACCCCAGATGTTATAGATATCGGATTTGAGAAAAAATCATTATATTTTACAATTTGAAACCTTTTTGTTAAAAATGAAAAAAACCATAATAATAAGTGATCTACCTTGTATACCAAGGGTAACCAACTGGCAGACCTCGGTCCGTATACAGACCTCGAGCACTATTTTTACAGACCCTTATCCAAGGAAAAATTCAATTTGAATAAATAAATAAATATAAATACAAATTTAGAAAATATATATACCTATTTATTAACGTGGGTAAAATACAGTTTGAATAAATATATAAGTATAATCACAAATTTATAAAATATATATACCTATTTATTAACGTAAGTAAAAGTCATTGAAACTGTTTGGACCACGTAAAGTTTGGTAAGTTTCAAAACGGACCCCCATAGAAATAAGTTGGGTGACCCCTGTTGTATACCATAACATTTTATCTTTGATATCAATAAGTTACGATCAATTCGATCAAAAGCTTTTTTGAAATTAGTATATATCACATCTGTTCGTGCGTTTATATAAAAAAAATTCAAAAATAATTTATTTGAAAGTGGCTAAATTAGTTATGGATGATCATCCTGTAAGAAAACCATGTTGTTCATTTGTAATTATGTTTTTATTATTGGGTATGGCTTGTCATTAATTATTTTTGTGAATAACAAATTTTTTGATTGATATTTTTTAAATTAAGTTATCATTTTATTAATCTTTTTGTGTAATCTTTACCTCATTCATTGATTTTAATATAGAATCCAATTGTTATTGCACTGATCTCTGTCTCGTGGCATTCAACCCTTAAGGTTGATTTCGCAGTTGACATGCGCTCTCCACTCTTCAGTTTGGTGTAGTTTGATAGTCTAGCATCGGAAATCATTTGTTTTACAATTGAAGTTCTTGGCATCCTTGGCTTATTAGTTATTATACCTTCCATTTTCCCTTCACCCTTCTGAGGATTTGATATATGTATTATACTTGCACTGATCTAGACATAATAAAAATGAAAGATAAAAATAACATGAATAGACTATAATATTATTTATTATTTAATATAACATCAATATTATCATACATTACTGTTATTTATTAATCCAATACGACATACTGTAGAATTCATACCAACATTTAAATATTCAAAATTACAGTATATACATAACTATTAGAAATAATAAATAATATAATGCAGAAAAATCTCTAGTCCAAAAAATCAATATTTTTTATTAGTTATTAAACTTTGTCTCACCTACAGATCATGATACTTCATAACATTTGAAAAAATGTGGAATGATTTATATTATTTATCAGACATAAATTATATTAATAATTAATTTATAATGTACATAAAAATAAAATGAATGTGCAAATATAGTTACCAATAAATTATGTATATAATATTGTGTTAAGTAAAGGTAATTTTAATTTATAATGATGACAAAAAGCCTTAGGACACCTAATTACGACACAAGTCGGATGATTTGTGCTTTTCATCTGAATATTAAAAATTTTGCTGTAAATTTTAAATATTAAAACTTCATTAGTTGATTAACGGCAACATGTTTGGGACATATGATGACATTATGCTAGATAGGGACATATGAAAATTATGATTTTAATTTAAATTTGATCTGACTATTTTATTATAAACAATTGATTATATTATCATGAGCTAGAATATCTCTTTGTTAGCAAAATTATTTATTCCGTTAGTGCCCTCATTAATTTGTTTATATTAAAACATTACCTTTAATGTACAGAACTATGTTTTTCCATAGTTGATTTAAGTTTATTTCTGATTTTTATTGATTATTAAATATTAATATTGTTAAAACGAATATGATGAATTTAATTTAGGACACCTGTACGACATCTAAGATGATGAGTATAAAATTATTTCTGAAAGTCTGATATTTTATTAAAAGAATTATAATTTTAATTTATTATGATGACAAAATGCCTTAGGTCACCTAATTACGACATAAGTCGAATGATTTGTGCTTTTCATCTGAGTATTAAAAATTTTCCTTAAAATTTTAAAATTTCATTGGTTGATTAACCCAACATGTTTGGGACATATGAAAATTATGATTCTAATTTAAATTTGATCTGACTATTTTATTATAAACAATTGATTATATTATCATGAGTTAGAATATCTCTTTGTTAGCAAAATTATTTATTCCATTAGTGACACCACATTAATTAATTTATATTAAAACATTAGCTTTAATGTACAGAACTATGTTTTCCATAGTTTGATTTAAGTTAGTTCTGATTTTTATTGATTATTAAAATTAATATTGTTAAACGACTATGATGAATTTAACTTAGGACACCTGTACGACATCTTCTAAGATGATTGAGTATAAAAATTATTCTGAAAGTCTGATATTTTATTAAAAGAATTTTAATTTTAATTTATTATGATGACAAAAAGCCTTAGGACACCTAATTACGACACAAGTCGAATGATTTGTGCTTTTCATCTGAGTATTAAAAATTTTGCTGTAAATTTTAAATTTTAAAACTTCATTAGTTGATTAACGGCAACATGTTTGGGACATATGATGTCATTATGCTAGATAGGGACGTATGAAAATTATGATTCTAATTTAAATTTGATCTGACTATTTTATTATAAATCATCAATTATATTATCATGAGTTAGAATATCTCTTTGTTAGCAAAATTATTTAATGCTATTAGTGACACCTCATTAATTTAATTATATTAAAACATTAGCTTTAATGTACGGAACAATGTTTTCCATAGTTTGATTTAAGTTTATTTCTGATTTTTATTGATTATTAAAAATTAATATTGTTAAAACGACTATGATGAATTTAACTTAGGACACCTGTACGACATCTAAGATGATTGAGTATAAAAATTATTCTGAAAGTCTGATATTTTATTAAAAGAATTATAATTTTAATTTATTATGATGACAAAAAGCCTTAGGACACCTAATTACGACATAAGTCGAATGATTTGTGCTTTTCATCTGAGTATTAAAAATTTTGCAAGACTTAGGACACCTGTACGACATCTTCTAAGATGATTGAGTATAAAAATTATTCTAAAAGTCTGATATTTTATTAAAAGAATTATAATTATTATTTATTATGATGACAAAAAGCCTTAGGACACCTAATTACGACACAAGTCGAATGATTTGTGCTTTTCATCTGAGTATTGAAAATTTTCCTTAAAATTTTAAAATTTCATTGGTTGATTAACCCAACATGTTTGGGACATATGATGACATTATGCTAGATAGGGACATATGAAAATTATGATTCTAATTTAAATTTGATCTGACTATTTTATTATAAACAATTGATTATATTATCATGAGCTAGAATATCTCTTTGTTAGCAAAATTATTTATTCCGTTAGTGACACCTCATTAATTTATTTATATTAAAACATTACCTTTAATGTACAGAACTATGTTTTCCATAGTTTGATTTAAGTTTATTTCCGGTTTTTATTTATTATTAATAATTAATATTGTTATAATGACTATGATGAATTTAACTTAGCACACCTGTACGACATCTTCTAAGATGATTGAGTATAAAAAATTATTCGAAAGTCTATATTTTATTAAAAGAATTATAATTTTAATTTATTATGATGACAAAAAGCCTTAGGACACCTAATTACGACATAAGTCGAATGATTTGTGCTTTTCATCTGAGTATTAAAAATTTTGCAAGACTTAGGACACCTGTACGACATCTTCTAAGATGATTGAGTATAAAAATTATTCTAAAAGTCTGATATTTTATTAAAAAGAATTATATTATTATTTATTATGATGACAAAAAGCCTTAGGACACCTAATTACGACACAAGTCGAATGATTTGTGCTTTTCATCTGAGTATTGAAAATTTTCCTTAAAATTTTAAAATTCATGGTTGATTAACCCAACTATGTTTGGGACATATGATGACATTATGCTAGATAGGGACATATGAAAATTATGATTCTAATTTAAATTTGATCTGACTATTTTATTATAAACAATTGATTATATAATCATGAGCTAGAATATCTCTTTGTTAGCAAAATTATTTATTCCGTTAGTGACACCTCATTAATTTATTTATATTAAAACATTACCTTTAATGTACAGAACTATGTTTTCCATAGTTTGATTTAAGTTTATTTCCGGTTTTTATTTATTATTAATAATTAATATTGTTATAATGACTATGATGAATTTAACTTAGCACACCTGTACGACATCTTCTAAGATGATTGAGTATAAAAATTATTCTGAAAGTCTGATATTTTATTAAAAGAATTATAATTATTATTTATTATGATGACAAAAATCCTTAGGACACCTAATTACGACACAAGTCGAATGATTTGTGCTTTTCATCTGAGTATTAAAAATTTTGCTGTAAATTTTAAATTTTAAAACTTCATTAGTTGATTAACGGCTAACATGTTGGGACATATGATGACATTATGCTAGATAGGGACATATGAAAATTATGATTCTAATTTAAATTTGATCTGACTATTTTATTATTAACAACTAGATTCTGGTGTTTGTCATCCCGCCTGCGGCGGAAAGACTGTGTGGCCGGTGGTGCATCTTTGTCGTAGCTGCCCGTGTGCCTCGATTCCGGGCGTTGGGGAAGCCTTCGAGGTGGTCGAGTGAAAATCGTTTCACGGGAAATTCGAAAAGTAATTAAACCGTACCGAAAACTGTGACTGAGTGTCTAGCGGTCTGTCCTCGACCGTTGTAATACCGTGCCCCGGTGTATGCCCGGTTCTGTTTTGTTGACTGTATAAGAAATTAGGAATTTCGAATAATTGTAATCGAATGTCTAGCTATCAATCATCGTTGTATGCAAATCCATGAGTTATAGGGCATATGTGTATGGCGGATTGGATACATGACCCGTATCATGCCCTGTTCTTTTGTGCGTGTAAAGAGGATAAATGCATAAAGAAAACGGTAATTGTGTGTCTAGCTTTCAGTCCCCAACCAGTACAAATTTGTGCGTTTACTGGGCATACCTCCTAACATCGATAGTCAGAAAACGTATTATTGTAGGAGAAAATGTTAAAGCCAAATGTCAATTGAATAAAAAGGTTAAGTAGTCGATTTAAAGGCAATCATACTTCCCAGGTATATAGGTGTCTGGTTGCAAACGACCTGTGCATATGAAATGAAATTAAAACATTACATAAAGCTAATTAAATGCTCTAATTAAATTAATGTAGGTGTGGTGTAGCCTATAAAACATCGGTTAATTGTATCATGTTGTATATTATATGTGTGTTGTGCACATGCTTATAGTTTTTGGTTTTTAAAACTGTTTTGAATACTATCAATCACAATCTTTTACAATTTTAGGTTTAATATAAGCAAGTAGTAATAATGTATAATAATAATAATAAAAATAATAAATATGAACATGGATTATTTGTTTATATTAGTTATATTTTTTATATTACAAATAATATATATATAATCAATTAGGTAATACTAATCAGTATTTGCATAATATTTTTACAATGAAAATTTTTTGCGGTTGCAAAATATCTAATCATACCTCATTATGTTGATTGATTATATTATCATGAGTTAGAATATCTCTTTGTTAGCAAAATTATTTAATGCTATTAGTGACACCTCATTAATTTAATTATGTTAAAACATTAACTTTAATGTATAGAACAATGTTTTCCATAGTTTGAATTAAGTTTATTTCTGATTTTTATTGATTATTAAATATTAATATTGTTAAAACGACTATGATGAATTTAACTTAGGACACCTGTACGACATCTAAGATGATTGAGTATAAAAATTATTCAGAAAGTCTGATATTTTATTAAAAGAATTATAATTTTAATTTATTATGATGACAAAAAGCCTTAGGACACCTAATTACGACAAAAGTCGAATGATTTGTGCTTTTCATCTGAGTATTAAAAATTTTGCTGTAAATTTTCAATTTTAAAACTTCATTAGTTGATTAACGGCAACATGTTTGGGACATATGATGACATTATGCTAGATAGGGACATATGAAAATAATGATTCTAATTTAAATTTGATCTGACTATTTTATTATAAACAATTGATTATA